GCATGAAATGCTTGTCAAAGCCAGCAGCATATGCATTCGAGTACTTGCATAAAGTTTAGCCTTAATGAATAAAGATAATATAAATTATAGATAAAGACAAAACACGCACACATTTCTACACATTTTTGATTACAGACACGGCACAATGCATTAGCAACTGTAAATGTGTTACTTTGGAGCATTTTAAAGGATGGCTGACATTGCACAAGCTCAAGCATACACTTGCATATTAATCCACATTTTGTCTGCATCATGCCTGACCTGCTTCCTAACGGGAGGCAACAGAACGGTTAAATTTAACAAGCCTCAATTAGCACTCTGCTTTAGCCGAGTTTAGCGCACTACCCAGAGACAAACTCTACGGAGCACACAAAACAAGACCCAATTAAAGACACACACACACACACACACACACACACACACACACACACACACGCGATTCCATCCAATGCAACAAAGCATCTCCAAGGAGAACCCCGGCGGCCCCCTAAACATCAAGGTAGAAAGGAACTGTTTTCCACAGCCAAACTGCTACTGTTGTTTCGCTGAGAGCCTTGGACTGAAAATCTGGCTTTCGAAAACTCTGCAAGTGGTCACACCGTATTATAGCAGAGGAACATGCTGAGATAAATTTGTAACTCGATCTCAAAAAGACTCAAAAAGAGGAAACAAGGAGGAGGAGAAGGAAGTGGGAAGCTGAAAGGACAGGAAATAGAACAGAAGAGCATGAAATGGTAAACGAATGACAGAAATACGTGGGTAAGTAAAAGAGTAGGGCAGATGGAGGAGGAGGGAAGAAAAAAGGGATGAGTGGAGGGCAAAAGAGACAAAAAGAACAGGGCTTCTTTCATTGTCTCAATCTAATGAAGCAGAACATATTTGTTTGTCACAAATGACCAACAAGCGTAAAGATTTTACTTGTATGGAAAGCCCTCCAGCTACATGATTACATTAACTTTCAGTGAAGAAACATCTCATACACAAACACACATACACTCAACTCAAGTTATGCACAAGTTATTAGGAGTCTAATCATAAAACACTGAGTTGCATAAGGGTGAAACCCATCAAGAACATGTCCATGTCATATTTCACCCTGAAACCAAAAGAAAAGAAGGCCTGTTAATGGACCATTATTCGAAAAGGTTGAAGTGAATTACAAGGATGTTCACATTATTTCCGTGACAATTAAATGCATTTCCTTCCATCAATTCTTAATAATATAATGAATAAAAAAAAACAGTAATTTTATCATTGCTGCATTCAAGCAACATATTTTATAATTATATATATTTTAAAATATTTTATAGTATATATTTTTATAAATTGATTATTTATTTTTAATTTATAATTATTTTTCATAATTAATTAGAATTATATTTACTGTTCAAAATGTTTTTTTTTAACAAAATTTATATTTTTATTCAGCTAGGATACATTCATTTTTTAAAAAGTGACAGTAAATATATTGATAATTTTACAAAAAATTTCTATCTCAAATAAATGCTCTTTTTGAACTTTTTTATTAATCAAAAAAAACTGAAAAAATTGATCAAGGTTTCCACAAAAATATTAAGCAGTACAATTCTTTTCAACATGGATAATAATATGATATTGAATATAATAAATGAAAATAATAATAATGTTTCTTAAGCACCAGATCAGCATATTAGAATGATTTCTGAAGGATCATGTGACACTGAAGACTGGAGTAATGATGCTGAAAATTCAGCTTTGCATCACAGGAATAAATTATATGTTAAAATATTTCAAAGTACAAAACAGTTATTTTAAATTGTAATAATATTTCACAATATTACTGTTTTTACTGTATTTTTAAGTCTTCTTTCAAACACATATTAAAAAAATCTTACCTGACCTAAACATTCTAACTTTTTTACAATGCAAATAGGCTTAATTTTCTTATTCAAAACATATTTTTTGCATGCTTACACTGTAAAACTATGTCCAGATTGCCTTAAATGTTTAATCAACTTGGCTGCACAAGTCATTTCAACTTAAATTGCATTACACAGACAGGTGAAACATGGATATGTTTTCATGAGAGTCTCCCAAAACTTGTCCTCTCTGACTGCTTGTCCTCTCTGACAAAGCCTCTCTGGCTCTGTGATTATCCTGTGGTGTATGTCTGCTGTCTGTGGGAGCTGTGAGACAAAATCACTCAAACAGATGAAAATGAGAGATGGCAGAGCACAAACACAAAAGACCATTACGCTGCCTCGGTTGCACTCTGATTAACAGCTCATAATTGATGGTTAAACCGGATGGTAGACATCTGTACCCTAGTTATGACCCATATGGACATATTATAGATTAAACATGCCTTCTTGCAGACAGACAGCTGGAGAAATGGATGAGAAAGTGCGAGAGAAGGCAAGAAATTGTGAGATGGAAGTTTATGAGAGTGGCAGACATTGCACACACACACACACACACACACACATACACACACATATATATATATTTGGGGGGGGGTGCGTGTTTACATATAAATTATCTAAATTTGTAAAATGATCAATCAACATTTTATACAATAAATTTATATAACAAATATTTTACAAATGTTTAATGTCATTTGAAGACAGATAAACAAATTAAAGAAAATAAAGTATATATTAAAAAAATTATAAAATAAAATAAAATAAATCCAAAAGCACACAGATCTAAGACAGACTTTTTGGCCCACATGTATCTGACATGTTTCTGCCAGCAGGACTTCAGATTAAGTTGCCAGTCTTTTTGAACACATCGCAGCAGGTACAGTAGTATCTCAGATGGTAGTATGTTCCTCTCCAGCTGGTCTGGGCCAAAACTAAGAAGCTTTAGTCTCGACTGCCATATCCATTCTCTCCTGGCAAGTTCTTGCACATACATTCAATGCAGAGCAGCCTGGCTATCAAGAAAATCTCACATTAGTCACGGTAGAGTTTTGCGGCGTGTGCTAACGACATTCGTGTTAGATCAGTTAAGTGGATGGATTCTGCTGCCTGCCAGCTCAGCGTTGCTGACAGTGGATGGAATAGCGCTTTCTAAAGCTGCTTTCACAGTAATGAAGAACCACAGTGAATCTGAGTTACATGCACAAACACATTCAGTGCTGGATACTGCAGGGAGTGAGTATTTCAAGTCAGTTTTGCATGTCAGTCTGCATGTACATGCATGTAGGCATCATGTCACAATGCAGTTAGAGCTAAGTGTCTATAATTTCTCAGCTAAAACTACCGGCAGCTGAAGGGACAGCCTCAGGCCGCAGAGAGAGAATGACAGCGAAGAGGAGGAGAGCTCTGCAGGGATGCAGTAAAAGAAACGTGCGTGAGGAAATCCTCTAATCAATAATTCAAACTGCTATAATTACACACATCTGTCTCAAAAACGAGAGAGAGAGAGAGAGAGAGAGAACCCTTCTTGTAATTTTAGTGCACGACGGGATTCAAATGAAACTGGCACACAACAGCCATATGAAATAGGCACGAATGTAGGCCATTTCACTATCATGTAAAAAGATATACATTTTTAACATTTCATGTTCTTTTTATGTCATTTGAAAATGTATAGAAGTTTTATAGAAGTGGTTATTTTCTATGGTCAATGTTGATCTGCTATCAAGAAAGTAGGGTGGCCTATAAATGTATATTACTGATGTTATTTTATGTTTTGCATAATTTATATAGTAATTTATAATAAACATACACACACACACACACACACACACACACACACACACA